CCAGCTGTGTTCCGACACCAGCACCCTCTCCTCCTCCTTCACTCCCTGCAGCCCCCCGGGGACAGGGCACTCCATCCTGGGGACCTTTCTGGGGACAATACGTCCTTTTCTTTTAGCACCCCCTCACCCTTCCTCCTGCCTCAGCCTTCACTGCAGGACTGAGGTTGCAAACAAGCTAATTAAAAACGACCTTGACGAAGCCGGCGGACCCGCTCCGGCCGGAGCAAGCCGGGTTTCCCCCCCCCCCCACCACTCCCGAGCTCCCAATCGCCGCATACATCCCGCGGCAGGGGGCATTTAATAAGTATTTTAATTAATTATCATGATTATTCCTTAATAATAGGCATTGCATTCCATGGCAGTGAGGTGGAGGGAACGGAGAAGGGAAATATTTCCACCGTCTCCAGCTCAAGACCTAAATTTAGCTGGTTTTACGAGAGGTCTGGCAGGCGGCCGGGAGCCTTAACGAGGCTTTAAAAAGCTCGTCAAGCCAAAATATCCCGAAATAACCGATCCAGCGTCGCCTTCGCTGGGAGGAGAACGAGGAAGAGGGTTCCACTCTTCCTTCCCGGCAGGAGCTGGGGGTTGCAGGTGGGAGGAAGCAGTGGACGAAGGTGAAATCCTTGCTCGTAAGCACCATGGAGCTTTTTGGAAGCTTTGTCCGGCCCCACGGTGAGACCTTGGGGTTCCCAGGTGAGTTTGGGGGCACCTGGGAGTTACTTCAGGAGGGATCCTCAGCAAACCGTAGCTGTGACCTCCCCCGAACCTCTCCAGCATCTCGTCCCGGTAACACGGGCGTGGTGAAGACCTTGGGGAACACCTATCAGTTCACGGTGGATGTCAGCGACTTCGCCCCTGAGGACATCATTGTCACCACCTCCAACAACCAGATCGAGGTGCACGCTGAGAAGGTGGGTGCTTCCTCCCTCTCCTGCTCACCCCCAAAATGGGGGATCCCCAAATCCTCAACCAGGGGATGCAGGGACCCCCTAACTCCCACCCAACTCCATAAAAGCCCTGGCCCAGTGGGGTTTAATTCACAGTTCATTAACAGTGAGCACAAGGAATAATGAGCCCCCATCCTGCTTGCACCCCAAAATCGCCCCTTCTCACCCATTTTTTCCCCTTAGCTGGCTGCAGATGGCACCGTCATGAACACCTTCACCCACAAATGCCAGCTACCCGAAGACGTGGACCCCACGTCAGTGTCATCCTCGCTGGGGGACAACGGGATGCTGACCATCCGGGCTCAGCGCCAGCCTGCCAAGCACTCTGACCACGTCCAGCAAACCTTCCGGACTGAGATCAAGATCTGAGGGGTGGGGGGCCCTTCTCCCCACCTCTCCCCTCCCTCACTAATTATTTGGGTGTTTTGGGAAGGAGGTGGGATGTAGGGTAGGGAATGCTCCCTCTGTGGTGGGGTCAGACCTGTGCTGAGATGCATCCTGTCACCCACTGGAGAAACTCCGGAGGGGAGTCCCAGCTCCAGCAGTTTTTAGCTGGCAAGGGTTGAGGGGGAAGATCCAGCATGCCAAGAGTGCTGCTGGGAGCCAGGTTCCCCTCCCAACCCTCTGCCAGAACTTGTCTTTGTATATACAGCTTGGGATAAATTATTGAGAATGCCTGACTGCTGCTGTCTGCATTTTGTCATGTTTTCCTGATGCTTTACCCCACAAAACAGTGTGGATTCAGCCCTGAAGGGTGTCTTGGTAAGGGGTATTCTGTCATCCCCACAAAAACCCGGACCAAGAGCCACTCCAGGATCCACTGCCCTGTTTATTCCCAGCCTGGGGTGACTCATTTCTTCCCCACTGCTCTATTTCTGCTCCATTCCCTCAGCTGTTCGGCTGCCAACCCACCTGGAAGGTCACCAAATCCACCTCCTCCCCTCGCCCACCCATATCCACCACCCTTGGGATGCCCCAAGCAGTGGCATGAGCCGGGATGGTGATCCCAGCGTGGCTGTTGAACCGAAGGGTGTCATTTGGGGGACCCAAAGTCTCCCCCAAGAGCCTGGCTCCATCTCCCTGTGTGTACAGACAACACTGCGGCACCAGTTCGGGGCGAGTGACTGTTTATAGCTACCACATACGGCCCAGCTCGTGTTGCTGCTCCCTTTCCGAGGGCAGTTTCCGCGTGTCCCACAACAACTCGTGACCTCTTTCACCTGCAGCGTCCCGAACACAGGTGGTTCTGCCATCGCCGCCTCGGGGGTTTGGCTATCGGCACCACTGGGCACTCAGGGGACTCCCTGCTGCAGGGAACCTGCTTAAAAGTTACCAGTGAAGCGCTGAACGGCTATAAAGACTCGGGAGATGGGAGGGGCGAGGCAGGGGCGATGTGCTGTCGCTAATCCTCAGCGATGGGACGCGGCTGCTCCGTCCCAGAACGTCCCCCCGGGGTGCCCCGGGCACCGCCGTAGCCACCGCCGCGGTCACAGGTTGCCATCTAGTGGCCCTCGCCCAGGGAGATCAAGGAAAGGAGGAAGCAATAGGAAACCCCCACACTATTCCTGCCCAAATGGGCTGGGTTGGAGAGGGAGGACTTGAAGAGGGCGAGGGGACAGCTCGGAGCGCAGTGTCGAACACACCCCGCAGCAACTGTGCCCCGCATGAGGCTCGTCGTTGGTAGGAAAGCTGGGAAAAACACCCTGGGGCCACTCCTGTTTAATATCTTCATCAATGACCTGAAGGAGGGGATCAAGCGCACTCACAGCCTCTTCATAGCTAACACCAGGCTGGGAGGAGTGTGGATGTGCTGGAGGGCAGGAAGATCCGCAGAGGGATTGGCACAACGTGTGAAGTTCAGTAAGGTCAAGTCTGGGTCCTTGCTTGGGTCACAACCCCATGAAGTGCTCAAGGCTGGGGCTAGAGTGGCTGGAAAGCTGGAAAAGGCCCTGGGGGTGCTATGACAGCAGCTGGACTAGAGCTCAGGTGTGCCCAGGTGGGCAAGAGTCCAATGGCACCTGCTTGTACCCGCCCCAGTG